GTCTTTCTGCCTCGTCCGCCATCTTGCTGGCCAGAGTTTATTCTTACTGGCTGACCTTTGTATGTAACTTTTTGTTTTTCCTGTGCTGCTCTCAGGATTCTGTCTTTGTCCTTGGTTTTGGTGAGTTTGATGATGATATGTCTCGGTGATTTTCCTTTGAGGTCTATCCTGTTTGGGGTTCGTTGGACTTCCTGAATGGATATGGTCTCCTCTTTCATCATACTAAGGAAGTTCTCCTCCAGCAAATCTTGGGTGATTTTCTCAGTGGTTTTATTTTTCTCTTCCTCTTCTGGAATTCCAATGACACGTAGATTATTTCTTTAGATGGTATCCCACATGAACCTTAGGCTTTCTTCACTTTGTTTTGATTTTTTTCCTGATTGATCCCTTTCCAAATAAGTATTCAGGTATTTGTCTTCAATCTCATAAATTCTGTCTTCCGTTTCATCAATTGGCACTACCCCCATCTTCTCTGTCCCACACAGGCCTCTCAGGATGGATGTCACCCGCCTTCTCCTGACCACTCTGCTGGTCTGCCTGTGCTTCCTCACTGCTCACAGCCACCTGGCGCTCGAGGAGAAACCCAGTGATGACAAGAGCTTGAAGAGCAACTGCTCTATGAACCTGCTGGGTTTTCCTTCTGTCTCCATCGTGGGTAAGTAGGCTGGCCTGGGGCCCAGCTTCAGAGCTCTGGCCCATGGGAGGAGAGGGGAGCTTCCAAGACAGACACCAGGATCCACTGCTCATTCCATGAAATAATCCTGGGAGAATCAAGGGCTTCTTGACTCATTTGGTTTGGGAAAGCCCTGCATGCCCCTGCCACCAACTAATAGGCAGATTAGCATGTTAGATGCTCTGAGAAAGCCTGCAGTTGAGGCATGTGGTGAATTTAGCATTTCTGAAACTTACTGAATCACAGAGCCCCAATCAAGAGAAACAAGCTTTAGGAAATGCAAACAGAATATAAGCAAGCCTGGCATGAACCAATCCTATCATGACAGGGTTGAGAATGACTGCTCAGGGGAAAATATTAGGGGCAGTAACCAAAAAAAAAAAAATAAACTCAGTGCCACTGAGTGGATTCTGATTCATAGCAACCCCCACTGGGTTTTCAAGGTGGTAAATCTTTACAGGAGTAGATTGCCTCAACTTCCTTCTGCTGAGAGGCTGGTAAGTTTGAACTGCCAACCTTCTGTTTAGCAGTCAAATGCCTTACCCCCTGTGCCAGCAGGGCTCCTTATTAGGGGCAGTAGAGCCTGGCACTGGAGATCTTCTGGTTTGACTTCACTGGATCATAGTAATAATAGCAGACATACTGTGTGCTAGGCACTGTGCTGTAGACAGATTATCTCATTTAATCTTCAAATAACCCTGTGAGGTCAATACAATTTTTATTCATGTTTCACAGTTGAGGGAATTGAGGCTAGGAAAGTTAAGTAACTAGTATAAGATCACCGAGTTCTTCTGGGGCAGAACCAGAGTTCAAACCCAGTTGTTTAAGTCCTGAACCTAAGCTCAAAACTGGCATCCCTTGCTGCCTTGCCTCTCACTAAACCAACCAAACTCACTGCCATCGAGTCAATTCTGACTCATAGAGATCCCCATTCGGTTTCCAAGGCTATAAATCTTTATGGAAGCAGACTGCCCCATCTTTCTTCCATGGAACAGCTGGTAGGTTAGAACCATCAACCTTCTGATTAGCAGCCAATATGCCTTAACCACTACACCACCAGAACTCCTTGCCTCTCACAAAGCAAAGAGGATGTTCTAGGCATATCAGGGAGGTAAAGGCAGGGTTGGGGGGAGGGCATCAATATTCACTGATCACTATTGATACACCAGACTTTTCACTCTGTAAGTTTACCTCATTTACCATCCAGACAGCATCCTGTAAGGTAGGTATTAACAATACTCATTGTGCAAATAAGAAAACCGAGTCTCAAGGAGGTTGAGTAGGTTACCCAAAACCACGCAGCTGTTAGACAGCAAAGTCAGGATACCAGTCTGGTCTGCCCAACTTCAAAGCACTAAGAAAGGACAAACAGGAATACGGAAAACACCTGCATAGACAAGACACTGAGCCCATTTTCAGGGTACCACAATGTTCTTGCTCCTGCCAAGAATAGAGATGAAAGGGGAATGTGGGTGGCTCGGAGCAGCCCAGGGCCAACCAGGTTGAGACCACGTGTCTCATGGATACTATGGGCAGATCCCAGGGCCTCCTTAGATTTCTCTTTTGCCTTCCCTTAGAGGTCACTTTGCTCAAAATCTTTGGCCCCAGGTCAGCACCCGGGCCAAAAAGATGTGACTCCTGAGATAGGACTCATCCAGCCAAATGCTTCCCCTACCCATCCCAGGACTTCCCAAGCCCCGTCTATCTTCCCACTGTGCTGCGGCTCAGGGCCCCCAGAACATCTGCCTTTGTTTCTTCTGTCTTTCTTTGAAGCACTGAACAAGAAATCCAAAAGGATCAGCAGAAAAGAGGCTGAAAACATGAACAGATCCTCCAAGGTAGGCCTGGGAGCTCTCCCTGTGGGGGCGGGATAGGACTTAAGAGGGGTCCTTAAAAAGAGAAAGGAACCATGGTGTCACCATGGGTAAGCACTCGGCTGCTAATTAAAAGGTTTGTGGTTCAAACCCACCAGCTGTTCCATGGGAGAAAAATGGGGTAGTCTACTTCCATAAAGATTAGAGGGTCACTATCCTACAGGGTCACTATGAATTGGAATGGACTTGACGGCAGTGGGTTAAAAGGAGAGGACACACAAGCTCTGACTAGTAACTGAATGGAAGATTGTCTAGGTCTACATCAACAAAAGAAGCTGAATGCCACCTGAAGGGCTTCTTGGCCAGGAGTCCTGGGTCAGACCCCTACAGAAACCCAGGAGGCTGAGGCTCACTGAGCAAAATAGCTGTAGGGGGTTTGAGGAAATTTGTGGCTGATTAAGAAAAAGGTATGACAATGAGATAGCATTGCACACCAAGCTATTTAGTTAGGTGTTGACAGCCACATGCAGGAGGTAGTCCCCTACAACAGGAGGTCTTCCAGAGACTAGGGGCTTAGGGAGCCACCAAGAAGGGGAAGAGAAGGGAAGAAGAAGCTTCCATGTCCCTGGGTGATGTCTTCCTACAGTGAGGAAGAGCAGAGAGCTTCCAAAGACAGCAGTATCCTGTTGCTGTTGTTGTTAGGTAAGGAGGTCTGGGGGTGCAGTGCCTAAGGCATTTGACTGCTAATCAGAAAGTCAGGGGTTCAAACTCACCAGCCACTCCCTGGAAGGAAGATGGGGCAATCTACTTCCACAAAGATTGACTGCCTTGGAAACCCAGTGGGGTCACTGTGAGTCAGACTCAACTTCATGGCAGTGGGTTTGGTTTGGTTTGGTTGTTAGGTGCCGTTGAGTCGGCTCCGACTCGTAGCGACCCTGTGTCCAACAGAAACAAACACTGCCCGGTCCTGCACCAGCCCCAGTCCTTGCTATGCTGAGCCCGTCGTCACAGCCATTGTGTCAATCCATCTTGTTGAGGGTCCTCCCCTTCTTCGCTGACCCTCTACTTTACCAAGCATGGTATCTTTCTCCGGGTCCATTCTCCAGAAATGGTCCCTTCTCACAATATGACCAAAGCAGGTGAGACAAAGTCTGACCATTCTCGCTTCCAAGGAGCATTCTGGCTGTACTTCCTCCAGGACAGTATCCTAGCATCCTTAAACTGTACAATTTTATCTTATATGGGAGCTCTGGTAGCATAGTGGCTAAGGCACTTGACTGCTAACCAGAAGGCTGGCGGTTCAAACCCACCAGCCACTCCTCGGAAGGAAGATGGGGCAATCTACTTCCGTAGTGATACTGCCTTGGAAACCCAAGGAGGGGTCGCTATGAGTCGGGTCCGACTCGATGGCACATAACAACAACAACAACAACAGGACTAGCAGATGTTAAGTGAAGTTTCATGAGGTATGGAAAGCAGGCAGGCTCTCAGTGACCAAAATTCTGCTTATTTGGGCAATTTTTAAAAAACTGGATCTGCACAGATTTGAGTTTGGTGCTGGTGGGCTTTTATTGGGCTAAAGAGCCCCAGATTACTATGAAGTAAATAACTCGGGGCTAACAGGCAGATACCACTTTACTCCTGTATGTAACGATAGCTTACCTGCTAAAAAGCATCTTCCTGTACTAGCTTGGCCCCTGCCTGAAATTACACCCTCATCCATTCCTTGGGATGGGTGTGATGCTTCCCAAACCTCCATCAACTCAGAACTACTCTCACAACTTTTGTCACCTATTTAATATATTTAATTAAAATTAAAATTTTAAAAATTATGTAACAATGATAAATAGGAAACCAGTACCACTTGCCATCAATAGAAGAGAACCATAAAGATGAGTAAAATGAAAATGAAACGTTGTTTAGAGAACTCTAGCTGGACAGTGTGGCCTGCCAAAAGTTCTTAATCTGAGACCTGCTCTATGGTAAAAGGCAGATCAGCAAATGTTGGGAGAGGCGTTTGTTACTTCCTGACACCAAGCTGAGCCTCTGGAATTGAAAGAGACTGAAAAAAGAAATTATTTTCACTATGTGATTCAAAAGAGCTCTGGTAGCATAGTGCCTAAGGCACTTGACTGCTAATCAGAAGGCTGGCAGTTCAAACCCACCAGCCACTCCTCTGAAGGAAGATGGGGCAATCTACTTCCGTAGTGATACTGCTTCGGAAACCCAATGAGTTGGGTCCGACTTGACGGCACAGAACAACAGCAACATATGATTCAAGGTCATTTAATATTCAGGCACCACCTAAAACCATCACACCATGGCCAGCCTTCCCCACGCTTTGGGAAACACTGGATTAAGGCATTGTTGAAGTGCACACATTATTGTGTTTTAGTCTGTCTCCGTTTCCCAGATCAAGGGTAACCACAACAGGGAGCACTCCTCCTGGGTAGCTTCAGGAAATCCCTGCTCCTCTCAGAGCCTGTTTCTCAGACTGGAAAGTGAACAGATAGATCAGATGATTGGCAAATACATATTACATGTTAAAAAAAAAAAAAAAATCAAACCCACTGCTATCAAGTCAATCTTCCTCCCACAGAGCAGCTGGTGGGTTTGAACAGCCAACCTTCTGGTTAGCAGTCAAATGCCTTACCCACGAGGCTACAAGAGATCCTATATTATGTGTTAACGAAAAAAAAAAGCCAAACTCACTGCTCTGGAGTCGGATCTGACACACAGCAACCCCTCCTTGGGTTTCCAAGGCAGTATCTCTATGGAAGTAGATTGCCCAACCTTCCTTCCTTCTGAGGAGTGGCTGGTGGGTTCAAACCGCCAGCCTTCTGGTTAGCAATCAAATGCCTTAGGCACTACCTGTTAGGCACTGGGAATATAGCAGTGGATAAGAGAGAGCTATCCCTGCTCTCATGGAGTTGTGGGGAAAATAGGTGAACAAGTAAATCAGTAAATACAAAAGATGAATTCAGATAAATACTTTGAAGGAATTAAAGCAGGGTAATGAGACAAAGCCCCAGTGGTTCAGTGGTCAAGTGCTCAGCTCTTAACCAAGAAAGATGCGGCAGTTGGCTTCTATAAAGTTTACAGCCTTGGAAACCCTATGAGGTAGTTCTACTCTGTCCTATAGGGTCACTAAGAGGCAGAACCAACTTGATGGCAATGGGTTTGGTTTTTTTGGAATGAGACAGAGAGTGAGTGAAGGGGAAAATTCAAAATAACCCACAGCAGCAATGTTCAACAGAAATGTAACGTAAGCCACATATATAATTTTAAATTTTCTAGTTGCCATATTAAAAAAAGGTAAAGAAAATGGTGCAATTAATTTTAGTGATATATTTTATTCAGCCTAATATATCTACAATATTATCACTACAATATGTAATTGATATAAAAATTATTAATGAGATAGTTGACATTTTTTTTCTCATAGTAAGTCTTTGAAATTTGTTGCCCACTTTACACTTTTGTTGTTGTTTGCCGTCGAGTTTTTACACTTACCACATCTTAATTCTGACAACACTAATTTTCAAAAGTTAAAGTGAAATGGAATCCTACCAAAATAATAAAGTGGTATTTAATGGAAAAAATACTTTATACTGCTTCAATTTTTAAATTTAAATTAAATTAAATTTGAAAATTCTTCAACTTGGGATAGACATGTCAAATTGGCCTCAAGTATACTTGCATTCTTGTATACTTTCAAGTCTAACTACATATGACCAGAGGCTGCCTGTAAAGGACAAAAGAGCAAAGGTCGCGGCAGAGGGAGTAGCATGCAAAGCTGCAGCAGGAACTCATTCGCTGTGTTCAGTGCACAGAAACAGACCCATAGAGCAAGGGGTAAGGTGGGCAGGTTGGAGAGGTGGGCAGGGGCCAGACACAGAGGACCTCAAGGGTCGAGGTGAAGTTTGTAGTGCATTCTGAAGGCACAGGAAAAAAAAAAAAAAAAACAGTGGGAGTCTTTAAGCAGGAATGGGATGCTATCAGAGGTCTTCGCAGAGGTCCCTTTAGTGCCTTGGAGGAGGGACTGTAGGGGGCCCAGAGAGACAAGTCGTGGCTAGGCCCAGGGTAGTAGCAGTAAAGGTGGAGAAGCGGGATCTACTGCGAAGGCAGAGCCGACAGGCACTGCGGTTTAGACTGAACCCAGAGACCATAATTAAAAGCTATGTAACTAAGTAGAGTCCACCAGGGGGAGAAGAAGACAGCCAGGCCAGATCCAAGTACATTTTGATGGGGGTGGAGGTAGATAGGACAAGATGGGGAAGCGGGCAGACACCGGCTGGGGTGCCCTGTGGGCATGGGTAGCGCGGGCAGTGGGCAATCGGGTGGGTTGTCCCGCCCGGGGCCTCGGTGGCTCAAGAAACATTCTGGCAGAGGTGAGGCCAGGTGAGTCAAGCGCGGCCCGCTCCAGCAGTCCTGGCGTTTTCCCCGCAGAAAAAGGCTTCGGTGAAGAAGGCGGCCCGGCCTCGACCCCCGCCGCCCGCTGGCTGCGTGGCCACCCGCGACAGCTGCAAGCCGTCGGCGCCCACCTGCTGCGACCCATGTGCCTTCTGCCAGTGCCGCTTCTTCCGCAGCACCTGCTCCTGCCGCGTGCTCAACCGCAACTGCTGAGCGCGCGCGCCTCCCGGGCGCGGCGGGAGCGCGCGGGCGCGCGGGGCTTCCGGAAAACCAGGGGGCGCTTCTAGAGCGGGTGATCTTAGTAGGTGTGGCTTCCTAGAACTGAGGCTACCGATGTGGGGGCGGGGGTGCGGGGGGGGGGGGGGGCGGGGGTGCGGGTGGGGCTTTCAGGAGGTGGGACTTAAAGGACACTTGCTTGGGCTAAATCTAAATATATGCAGGTTCTCCGAGTACTGTGGCTGTTTGTTCAGCGGACCCAAAAGATACCTCTTTCCCTTCGCCAATATTCCTTCACGGCGGAAAGCCCCGAGGAGTGAGCGCACGCTTTCTGCACGGAGCTGGGGGAGCCTGCGCTCCGGGTAACAGCTTCTGCGGGTCCTACACCTGGGAACGCTGCTGCCTCCTACCTTTAACCTGAGAACACCTGCGAACGCCTCCAAAACCAGGGAATGCAGTCACTTACCTGATCCCTCTCCTAAAAAGTTCTCCTACCCCGTACCCTGGGGGTAGGGGGTGAGGGGTGGAGTTCTCCAACTCCATACACAATCTGCTGGGTTTTCTGTCCCAGGCGACTCTGCCTTCTGGGAATAAAGACCAAGATGGCTATTTAGAAGGGACATTGTCGTGGGTCCCTACAGCCAAAGGTCCACTTGTGCCGCTCCTTCCTCCCCTCAGCCATTCACAGAGGTGCTGAAACCTGGGAGGAGTTGCCCTGCTCCCAGGCTAAATGATTTCTGACCACCGGTCCCCAGGCATTTGTAACTGAAAGCCTAGAGTTTGGGCCCTAGAGTGGGAAGCAGAGACTCCGGGATTCTTCCTCACCTCCCACCTTAGCTCTGTTAGCCAGTGATGAGGCAATGGATATGAGTTTGGGGTGAGTAGGCACCAGCCTTTATACTGATTATCAGGGACCTGTTGCCAAAAATGTCCCAAGCTGCTCTCTGACAGCCTATCCTCAGAGATGCTCTGAGTCTGCAAGAAGCCGAGGTGCAGTATTTTATCTTTGGAAGAATCCTGGGAGAGAGAGCACCTGGGATGCTGATTTAGGGATAAGAGGAAGGAGTTGGGAGCAAGGTCTGTGAGGAAGGAAAGGCCAGCCAGGGTGGGAGGGTATAGGAACACCCAGGGCCTGAAGGGCAGTGGCTCCAAACAACATCATCTGCTTGCACTGCTCGGCTGGGGACATCCCTGCCCACAGACAGAAAGGCTGACACCAGTTGTCAACGTCCCACTTCCACCACAAAAGCTGGAGCTCTTCCTAAAGGAATCACTGTGTCTAATCAAAAGCCAAGAAACTATGAACAGTGGAGATTTTTAAAAGGCTGTGCATAAGTAAGAGTCTAGAGAGAGGCTATGAGGCAGAAAAATGTGGAGCAGTTACTTCAGCCCTGATAATCCCCATGTATCTCTGTTGCTTGGAGGTAAGGACAGTGAGGCTCAAGAGCTAAATTTAAAAAATTAAAAAAAAAAAATGCTAGTGAGGGTGTGGGGAGATTGGAACTCTCAAACACTGCTGGTAGGACTGTAAAATGGTCCAACCACTGTGGAAAATGGTATGACTCTTCCTTGAAAAGTTAGATCTAGAGATACCATATGATCCAGCAATCCCACTACTGGTGTATATCTTAAAGATATAAGCTCCATCTCATGAATAGATACATGTACACCCATGTTCACTGCAGTGTTACTCACAATAGAAAATAGATGGGAACAACCTAAGTGTCTATCAACAGATGAAAGGCTAGACAAATTATGGTACATGCACACAATGGAATATTACACAATGGTGAAGAATAACGAGGAATTTGCAAAACATCTCACAACATGGGTGAACCTGGAGAACGTTATACTGAGTGAAATAAGTCAATCATAAAAGGACAAGTATCGTATGAGACCATGATTATAACAAAAGTCAAGAAAAGGTTTACACACAGAAAGCATTCCTCGATGGTTACCAGGGATGGGAAGGGAAGAGAGAGAAAAGCACTAACTAGTTAATAGAAATGTATTAACTTGGGTGAAGGGAAAGGCAATACATTCTAAAGGGGAAATCAGCACAACATGACCAAGACAAAGGAAGGCACTGGGAGGGACACAAGAGGAAAAGGTAACAATGGTGAGTACTGTTCAGTACACAATCCTATGATAACGAAAATAATTTATGAGTGAATACATAGCCAGATGCATAAGCTGAACAGGTGTGGCATGGCACATGGGAGTATACCCACAAGCATATATAGGTGTGGCAGAGGCTATTCCTACATGTATACGTGTATTGCTGCAATTATATCCAGGTATATAATAGAGCATACAAAGTTACACAAACTTCTTAGCCATAACCAAACACTTTGAGGGGGCTGAGTCACTGAGCTTAAGGGTTTAGGACAATATTTTCAGGGGACATCTAGGTCAATTGGCATAACATATTCATTCCACAAAGACTATGTTCTACATTCTACTTTGATGAGTAGTGACTGGGCTGTTAAAAGCTTTCAAACGGCCAGCTAAAATACAACTACTGGTCTCCTCCCGTCTGGAGCAAAGGAGAAGGAAGAAAATCAAAGACTCAATGAAACAATTAGCCCAGAGGACTAATGGACCACACGAATCACAGCCTGCACTAGCCTGAGACCGGAAGAACTAAATGGTGCCCAGCTATCACTACCGACTGCTCTGTTTCAGATCACAATAGAAGATTACGGATGGAGTGGGGAAAGAATGTAGAACAAAATTCAGAATCATAACAAAAAGACCACATTTACTAGTCTAATAGAGCCTGGTGGAACGCCTGAGACCATGGCTCTTAGACACCCTTCAAACCTGGAACTGAACCCACTCCTGGAGATCACCTTGCAACCACAGTGGACAGGCCTGTAAAGTGAACAGTAAGACCCGGGAGGAAAGAGCTCCTCAGTGCAATCAACCAAATGAGACCAAAAGGGCAGCATTTACCCAAAAACAAAGTTCAGAAGGCATGAAGGAACAAGAAAGATGGCTAAGAGGTAAGGAGGAACCCATGGAGGAAGTGGGCAGAGTGCTATTTCATGGAGGGGATTGCAACTAAGGTCACTAAACAAAATGTGTATAAATTGTTGAATGGAAAACTAATTTGCTCTTTAAAGTCTCACCCAAACCAAACACACACACACACACACACACACACACACACACAAAGCCAGGTAGGTAGATCCATCTTCTCTGGCCTACCTGCCCAACTGCAACCTTCCCTCTTTCAAATTTCTTAAAACTCCTTCCCTGCCAAAGACCTTTTCACAACTGGAGACCCAAGTCGTGCATGCAGTGACATGGCCAGTATGGAATAAAGGAAGCAAACTCCAGCCTCCAGATTGAAGACAGAGCACAAAAAGAGAAGATGGGTGCTCCAGACTGCGCTATTATTAAACTGGGCAATTTCTTGCATCTCTCTAGGCTTGCATTTGCCTATAAAATGGAAAACAATCATGCCGGCTGTTTTTGTTATTAATATAGTACAGTGTTACATCTCTGAACCTCAGCTCAATAAAACACACACACACACAGAGAAACTGCCAGTTGCTTAGCTTGTTTCTCTCATTTAGGCTGCAGGTCCACAGGGCAGAACCTTTTGTTCCTTTGTACCACAGCTGCTACTGAGTAAAAGTCATCAGTAATGAGAATATTGGGAACACATTGCAGCCACTGTTCCTGTGTTTTCCAGACATTGCTCACCAACCAGGCACCAGTCCCCAGGGTGAGACCAGAGTGCAAAGCCAATGACCTAATCCATTAGTGATAAAGCTGCTTGGCCGCTGAGTCCAGACAACTGTGGAAGACCAACCCATTCATTCATTCAGCAAAAGTTTATTGAGTACCTACTGTGTGCCTAAAATTGTGCCCGTTGCTATGAATGCTGTGTCCAATATGACTCCTCTCCTTATAGAGCTTATTGTTGTCCAATGCACCATGACCACTGGCTCTTGTTAGAGGCTAGAATCATTGTTAACATGGGATCTATTCTCTCAGTTCTTGCTTCTGTTGACCCAATTCCTGGTTAAGTATTTACCTGCACAGGTTCCCCTTCAGGAAATTCCTGAGATTCCTCCACTTTTCAGGATTCTTTCTCAGTCCTCAGGGTGCTGAGAGCATGGTTCTAGGCCTCTGCAAAATTCTTGGGTGACCAGAATTGTCTAGCTATGGCTCAAAGTTGTAGTTCCACCATTATGAAAATATGGAACCCTCCACCTCCATCTTCACCACCATTTTTCTCCTCTCTCTCTCTCTCACTCACACACACACACACACACACACACACACAGGGACACAGTGCACTCTGTTCTAGAAGTTCTCCCAACATGAAATGAGGGATTAGCCAGCAAATCTCCCTGCCTCTCATTGAGCCTATTGACTCAGGATTATTTCTTCCAGGAGGGGATGGCTTTAAATTTGTGCCTAAAGTTCTCCCAGTGTGGCCGTGGACACTGTGCCTGGGCCACTGCCCTCCTGATACCACCATTTCCCCAATTGTAAAATGAGGCATAAATCAGAGCTCTTTAGTTGAGAGCAATAAGAGTAACTCTAAACAAAACAAGATAAGAAACCCATTGTCACTGAGTCAATTTGGACTCAGAGCAACCCTATAGGACAGAGTAAAACTGCCCCACGGGGTTTCCAAGGCTGAATCTTTATGGAAGCAGACCTCGGGAGAAAGAAACAATTCTAGCTAGCCTAATTTTTTTTTATTATTATTATTTTTTTTAATGTGATGGTGGGAGTTATCTACTGGCAAGGTCTGGAGATCAGAAAGATGGGCTGTGAAGCAAAAATTAAGGGGCAGGACCTTGAGTGAAGACAGAGGGGCCAGGTCACAGAAACCGATAGAAAATCTCTTCTGGTGAGGCCATGAATCAGCTCTAACCACTTTAGTCCCTGCGTTACCGAAAACTAACCAAACTCACCCCCGTTGAGTCGGACCCGACTCATAACGGCCCCTCCTCCTTGGGTTTCCAAGGAGTGGC